AAAAAGAAGAAAGGAAAGAAAAGAAAGAAGGAAAGAAAGAGAGAAAGGAAAGAAAGAAAAGAGAGAAAGAAGAAAAAAAATAGTGGAAGTTGAGAAGGTCTTTAACAGTGGAAAGGAAGCGTAAGGTATTAAAGTTAAAGTGAGTTATATTATGCCTTGAGTTAGCAAAATGTATTTTACGTATGTTTTAACTTACCAAAATCTGTTTTATACAAGTTATGTTTTTAATAAAAGTTATGTTTTATAAGGTGCCGTTTGGTAACACAAGGTTTCAGTTACGTGGTTTATCTTCTGAACCCTATTTATTTAAAAGGAAGCCCATGGATATATTTGTTTTACTTTTGAAGATGCCATTTTTGGAATGTGTGAGAAAGGGACATACTAGACTTCTTTCCATATGGATAATTAGTGAGTGGTATGCCCTGTGTGGTGGAGAGTCACACAAATTTGGAAAGAATTAATTAGAAAAACCATTTTTTTGCTGTGTTGTGGTCATTGCAGAGAGTTAGGGATGATTTAATTTTCCGAAGTAAACCTGTGAAATTGGAATTGGTTGATTTGATTAAGGGTTTTTTTTTGGTTTAAGAGCCCATGCTTCAATTAGATATTACTTAGTGATTTTATGATGAAACCAATAATTGAGAAAATATAAAATAGAACAAACACACAAGCACACAATGATTTACGTGGTTCGGCTATAAGCCTACATCCACGGGTGAAAAACAACAGAGGAATTTCACTATGAATGAGGAGAATACAATGAGCCCTCCCTCTCACTACAACCTCTCTGTACATAGGATTATCTCGGTCGAGTTTGAGACATTCTCACAATAGATGACTTGAAGCAACAACAATCATGCTCTATTAAAACCTCAATTGAAAATCTCAATGGCAATGTTGGAGTTTGGTATCTCTGAAATCCTCTTGATACCCCCATACCGCTCCAAAGGCATCCAGTCGAAAACTTCTTGTAGACAGCCCTTCTTTGGCATCTTCCACTAATCTTTTCTGTACTTTACAAGCGTGAAATTCACCGAAGTCTTCAGAAACAATATCATCTGAATGTCTTGTGGCCATGCAACTATTAGGTACTTATCCATTTGATGCTGAATGTGACGTGAGCAAATAAGGTTTGGGAAGATTGAATGTACTCAAGAATGATGAATGAAGAATACCTTATGCTGTTTTTGGATGAACAACTCTGTTTCTTTCCTCTCTGATACTCCCGGTGAAGACACCATCTGCAGCCGAAACAAAGGGATGGCCTAGGAGCATATCGGCAGTCCACCGTGACTTCGGATCCCTAACCAAGCACTTCTTCAGAAAATCTTCGGCCTCTTCTGAGAACCCACTCGGAATTTCAGGTATTTCTTGTGTACTTGCTATTTTAAACAAGATAGTTACTCTTTCTGTATTCCGGTCGCACTTCCAAGGTTCTTTTCCAGTCAATAGCTCTAAAATCGTGCACCCTAATGCCCATATGTCTGCTTCTGGTTCATAATCTTCATGGCGAATGGACTCCGGGGCCATATACAGTGCAGTGCCTCTGATTCCAAGCTTTCTTCCTTTTTCTGTCAACCTCTCTCCAGCCTTCTTTACAAGCCCTAGGTCAGCAATCTTTGCAGTTCTTTCTTGGACCCTATTCATCTTTCCATTCAAATCGATTGACAAGTCATCCTTTTCATCCACAAGCAGTATATTATGAGGCTTGATATCACAGTGAACATAACCCTTGTTGTGAATGTAACTCAGACCCAGAAGTACAGAGTTTGTGTATTGTCTGACCTCTGTCTCGGGTAGTCCTCTGCCGTAACTCTGAATGCGATCAGCCAAACTTCCACCAGCGGCATACTCCAACAAGATGTTGTACCATTGCTCTCCGTCTTCGATCGTAACGTCGTCCCCAAAACAGCGAAGAATGTGAGGACATCCTTCAAACTGACTGAACAACTCTCTTTCGATGGAAAGCAATTGGGAGTTGTTGACAGGGGCAGATTTGGCAGCCATGAGAGAAGGTAGTAGTTCATTACTTCTTGGTGGTGAAACAACTGCAGCCAGATACACCATTGCAGAACCTCCCTTTCCCAGTATTTTCCCTCTCCTCCACATCATTACACTCCAAGAAAACTCTCTCTCTCTCTCTGCAAAACTCTCTCTTTCACTCTCAAAGAAACATACTTCACTCTCTAGAATTTGCTGATGAGTGATAATGTTTACTGTAATCTATATATATAAGGATTCTAAAGAGTTGAATCCTTAGAGGATACTATTAGCTCCAGACTTTTAATTTAGTTTGGATTGGAATTCTATGTTAATACATAAGGGTTAACTTCCGACTTTCCTAAACTACGATTTGATTTATTTGTAATTATTTTTTATAACAAAAATATGAACATATTTATGCATATTTATTAAATTTTTTTAATTTGTGTAAAAAATTATATATTTATGTCAACGCTATGAAATGAATAGTTATATATATTTACTAGCATTCAACCAGTGTGTTATGCACGGTTAAATATATATGAAAATGATATATATTAATATTTTTATAAATTTTAGATAATAAAACTATTTTTATTTTTAAATTTTAAGATATATGATAAGGATATTTATTAACATTGTATGAATTTTTAGATCATAAACCTGTCGAGGTGCAATGTGTGGGCCCAATTTAAGTAATTTAAGTTTGTAAAATTTTATGAAAATGATGTGGATATATATATTAATATTTTTATAAATTTATAGATTATAAAATTACTTTTATTTTAAATTTTAAGATATATAATAAGCATATTTATTAACATTTAAGTAATTGAAATTCGTAAAATTTTATAGTCTTAAGTAATTTAAGTTTGTAAAATTTTATGGCCTTTGGACTATTTTAAATTTGGTCGGGACAAAGGATTGTTTTGAAAATTAACTTTTTTAATGACTTTTTTTTGGAATACTTTTTAGGTCTTTAACTAAAAAACCAACTTTTCAAAATAGGCCTAAAGGAAAAATTTACCAACTCAAATTAAACCAATCAGAGTTTGAGTAAGAATCACAATTCAAATATTCTGATTTGTATTGTATATAATATATAATTCTCGCATTGAATCTGTGCATACACCAAAACGTGAAAAAAGAAAAAATTGTTTTAGAACGTATATTTTAGATTGATTGTATTAAAGTTTTTATTTTTATTTTTTATATCTACTCTTTTATAGAAAAAAATTATGTGACTAAGAATTTTGTGATAATAACAGGGCATGTGTGCAGATGTAAAACGCATCCCAATTTAATTGTAGTGAAGTTGGTGATCAAGTTGAGCTTTTTTCCCATATGAATTAATGACTTATCAATTTTCTTAATTATTATTATTTTTCTTCTAAAATTAAAAAAATGTATTTTTTTTATAAAATTTATTTTACCATTGAAGATGATTGCCACATTGACCAAATTTTGTTTGTTTTAAAAATATTTCAATATGACAATTTGAGTGAAAACTTATTTTTTATTTTTTGTTGAGGATTGGCCTCTTTTACTATATTTTTTACTTTTTATGAAAAGAAGTGTAAGAAAGTAGATTGAAAAGTTGATTTTTTTGCAATAATTTTTTGGCTAAAATATCGATTTTCAAAAATAGGCTTAGTATTTGTTTGGCATCCAGCTTAAAAAATCTCCCTTTTGTTTTTGAATTTGTTTGTTTTTATTAATTTTTAATTTTTAATTTTTTTGGGGGATTCGTCTAATCTAAAAGGTAACAAAAAATTCACCCAAAAAAAGTTTAAAAAGCCAAAAATACAAATAAATAAATAAATAAATGAGAATTCAGTACATTTTTTGTACTCATATGTATTTATTGATTTTTAAAAATATTTTAATTTTTAGATACACCTAAGTAAGGTGCATTTAAAAAAGTAAAAAAAAATACTTAAAATTTTAAAAGTATTCACTAAAAACAAAAAACTACGAAAATAAAAAGTCAATTTGCAGAAAATTGAATCTAGAAAATTGAAACAAAACATTATTTTTTTTGAATTTTCTTTTCCAATTGTACCCTTATTGTTAGACCGTCGCGGGTCATTGAAAAAGTCACCAGTATTGGAAAAATTGACGATTGTGGCCAACCGTGGCAGTGATGGCAGTGGTGATGATTTGCACAGATAATTTGTTTAGGTGGACAGATAGATGACATATAGGCAAATAGCGAGATGACACGTAGATAAATAGACAAATAAATAAGAATAAAATGAAATTTAAATTATAATTGTCATTTTAGTTTCAAAATAATACATCTTGGACCTTTTGGCCCAAAATATTTGGAATTGAACCTTCGGTTTTTTTGTTTGTTTGTTTGTTTGTTTGAACAGTGAACCTTTGGCTTGAGAACTCCAAAAATGAAAGGGGAAATTACCACGTGGTGATATTTTTAAAAAATTACTACGAAACAAATTATGACTTTAATAATTAATATTTATAAAATTTAAATTGAATTCAAAATTGGAAAAATTACCCATAAATCCTATATAGGGAAAAGTTAAACGATTTAGTCCTAATTTTTTTTTACACACCATTTAGTCCTATTTATTTGGCAGTTTTTTTGGATTGTGATTTCATTCCATTCTTTTTACATGAATACCCTTTGCAAGATTGATTCCTTAAACTGTTGATTATGTTTTGAATTGGGATAGATAATGTTAATGTATTGGGGGAAATATTTGATTGGTTAACATTGTTTTCATTTTTTTAGGAGAGAGGAAACGGGGAGCACCATTTCATCTCATTTTTTCCGGTGACCACTATTGTTCTGCTGGTGGTTTTACGCAATCGCACTGTAACAGGTATGCGTTTTTGTTTGTTTTTTTTGGGTCTCCCATTTATGTGTTTATTGTTGGCTGCTGTTGATTTTCTGTTATTGTTTTTCACCTACGGGTGTTGCTACGATGATTGATTTGTTGTGCTAAATTGGAGTTTTTTTTTTTTGGCAGTGGGTTGGGTTCGATTAGTTACATCAATTCCATATTAATTTTTTTTTTGGTTTGTTTTGTATTTCCGGTGTATTGTTAACGCAGGTATGGACGAAGGGATTTTGTTGGTGTGTTCTTACGGGTTAATCAATGCTGTTATTCGGTTGCATCACGGTTCAACATTTGTACAGATTGTTGGTCATATTTGTGGGAAGTTCGATGGATTGGTACCAGGGGCGGTGTATTTGTTATTTGATGTTCCCGGGTATAAGAAGTTTAAGGTGGATAGTGACGACGTTATTCAAAACATGTTGTGCCTTGCTAAGTCGTTTGGGTTAAATCATATTGACGTCCTCGTTCAGAAACAGAGGGGGTGATTGTGGTGTGGTGGATACTGTAGAGGATGGGGGAAATTCCCGGGATGCTAGTTGGATTGATTGCGTGGACGACCAGATGGATTTGTTGCTGACATATTGTTCGAATAGATCGAAGATGTTTGTGTCGGCGTAATGGGCGTATGGCATTAGCCATGTGGGACAATGTTTCGATGGTGGAGCAACTGAATTCCGCGAAGTTCTATGTAAGTACGCCGTGGAACATGGATTTCAATTCAAATACCTTAAAATGATTCTGTTCGAATTACAGTAGTGTGTAAGTTTGCAGCGTCAACAGCTTGTACATTTTCAGTTCATGCGAGGATGATACCATCAAGTGGGGTGTTATGCATTAAGAGGTTCAATGGTGTGCACACTTGTGGGGCTGCTGTACGTACTTATAGGAACCCTCGTACGGGGTCTAATTTGGTGTCGACTATTGTTGCGGATCGGGTGCGTGAGCAGCTATTGACGTGCCTTACTGATGTGGTGTTTGATTTGAAAAACGAGTATGGGTTGGAGATTAGTTACCGGGTGGCATGGTTGGGTATTGAGAAAGCGAGAGGCGAAGTGTACGGGGATCATGCTATGTCGTTTGACCAACACAAGTGGTATAGTGATTCCGTAATGTAAAAAAATCCAAACAGTTACATTAACCTTGAATTTAACCAGAAAATCGGGAGGTTCGTTCGGTATTTCATATCATTCCGCGTTTGTATAGATGGGTTCAATCATTCTTGGCCTTTGCTATTCTTGGATGGAACATTTTTGAAAGGTAGGTTCAAAGGTAATTTGCTTGCCACAACTGCTAAAGATGCCAATCAAGGTAATATTGTGCCCTCTTATTTCCTATTTTGTTGATGTACTAGTAAACTGGTAGTTCCATTTTCATATGAATCTTCGTTAAATAAATTTTCCCACTTTGAAATAAGATGTCCTCCATTTGACACTGATTGGTAATGTCAAACATAGTGTTATGCTTATTCATTTTTTCTAAAAAATGTGTTGTACATGTTCTCTTTTGATGGTTTTAAAACTTTATGAAATGCTAACCTGTGTTATGTTGCATGTTTTTGGTTGTTGGGTTGTTTCCTGTCGCCTTTGCTATTGTTGATTCCGAGAATTCAACCAATTGGGAATGGTTTCTTCACAATTTGAAAAAAGTTGTTGGGGATGTCCGGACATTAACTTTCATATCTGACCGCCACGTCGGATTATTACAGTCCATGCCAACAATTTTTCCCTCGGCGCATCATGCGTATTGTTTGTTGCATCTCCAAATGAATTTACGGGATCGAATGAAATATGTGAATGCATCGCACAAAATTGGGTTGATGTGTAAATTGCGGGAATGCACCTATGCGCCCACTGTTAATTGCTTCAATGAGAAATTTGAGTTATTGAAGAAGTTCAACCCGGTTGTGATTGAAGATTTTATGAAAGACTTGCACCCAAAACATTGGTGTAACGCATATTTCAGGATTCGCCTAATAGGATATGGCATTTTTATATCCCCATCATTTTTCTTTTGTATCTTTTATTCTCTTCATCGTTGATGACTTTTTGCACGGTGGAATTGGTTATTTTTTGTAGGGGCCAACGATATGGTGAGATGTGTTCAAACGCTGCTGAATCGTTCAACAATTGGGTAGGTGAGGTCCGTCATCTGCCGATTACTGGATTGGTTGACATGATAAGGGGTCAAATAATGGAGCAGATGTGGGAACGTAGAGTTAAATGCACTAAATGGTCTGGTGTAATATGTCCGAAAATGGAGAAAAAGTTGGTCAAGGCGTATAATGAAAGTAGGGCATGGTGTGTAAGCCAGGCAAATAATGATGTGTACGAGGTTCACTCCCACCCATCGGTGTTGGTTGATGTCGGCAAGCAGACATGTTCTTGTTTTCAGTGGCAGATAAATGGGTTTCTGTGTTCCCATGTTGTTGTCGCATTTTGTAATAGTGAGATAAACATTTACGATTCGATAGACCGTGCATTCTACATCGATACATTTCGTGCTATGTACAGCGGGACAATATATCCCATCCCAACAGTTGAGAAGCCGATGTTCAACCTAACTGAATATTTTATAGCACCGTCAAAGGTGAAGCGTCCGCATGGTAGGCCCAAATGGAAGAGAATTCCTTCTAAGGGCGAGGTAGTGCAACGTATTCGTTGTGGACGTTGCAGAAAATTGGGCAATCACAATAGGAAGACATGCAAAGAGCCGTTATAGACGGTCTGCCATATGATTTAATTTTGTTTCCGACAAACTGGGGTTGTGTTGGACTACTGTATTATGATTTAATTTTGGTTGTTCGAATTGTTTTTTGAACTGTTTTCAATTGGTCATTCATTTTATGTTTTGGACTTAATAAATTTGGTACGACGTACTTATATCTATCCCAGCTATTATTTTGGTTCCCACTATTAAACAATCACACATGGAAGCTTTAATACCCCACCTTCGGGTTGATTACATTATGGCGTTGCAACACCAATGGTTGCGGTTTGTTTGCAACCTGTGTATATCATACACATACATGAACCCAAAACCCACTGTGGAATACTATTTCAACGCCAAATGGTCTCTCCATAATTATTTTTATAATGTCAATGGCAATTTAATCTGGTGTGGTCCCTTTTTTGTATTGGGGTGAGGAAATGGTCTTTTTGTCATTTGTAATGGTGTTCATTATCATGATCTTGTAAAGGGTACATACATGGTGGGTTTTGTTTTTTATACATTGGCAGCGGTAATGGTGTTTAATGGTTGTGTTTTTTTAACAAAAAAATTCCTTTACTTACTGTACGTGGAGGGTTTGAGCATATTTTCAAATTTACGTAACGGATTTTCGGTTGTAAATTGTCTTCCTGCCAACGGGTGTTTCGCTTGGGTGGATATGTACTGTATCTTCGTTACGTCATGACTGTCGTTACGTTTTGTAAGTTCAATTTCTATTTGTGGTGCTCATTATTAAAATTAACATATTGAAATGTTACTCATGGCTAGGTTAACATTCATTGGGTAAATTTAATCCCAATATGTATGCTTATTAGACGTGCTAATTTTGTACGATTGGTATTAGTTGAATGTAGTTCGGTATGGTTGGAATACACATAACTGTGCGTTTCAGTTTGGAGGTTCAGCTGTGTACACCATACATAACCATAAAACCAAACATGATTACAAATCAATTTTTAATACCGAATATCACACACCCATACGGTTACAAACAAATATCCAGCAGTTACGGGAATGTAATCTATTCCCTGCATTGTCTACAGATTAATATACATTCATCAACAACACGTAAAACATTGAATATCAAACCAACCCATGTTGTTTTTCCTAACATACAATACAATCAAACACAAATTCAACACAAACACATTGACATGATGCGCTTTGTCTTCGCATGTCAACTTCCATAGACATCAAGCCATGTTTAATCCCATGGTGGCCAAACATGTTTCTCTAACACACACTGATTGCATGTCAACTTTCACATAGCTCATACCATATTCACATACACAGTTGCGTATGGCATTGCGAACCAATGTTTCATAAATGCACATAAATAATATAACATTCTGTTTTCATTACTCGGCCATAATCATCACCATTCACCAATATAGTAACAGACTCCTACCACCGCGAATTAGCCAACAACCATTCATAAGGACGATGATGTTTTAGTCAGAATGTATAGAATAACTTTTTATGACATAATGTCCGAAGCTAATAATATGGAATAGAATTAACTGTTATGGCAAATAATGTCAACGTTAACCTCAAAAACACAAAACAATTATATACGTCGACAACGACTTCAAAAATAAAACACCCAACTTAGGTTGCTGCAGATTCTGGCCACTTATTTTCCATCCTAACGTTTTGATTTCGCACATTAACAAAACAAATATGTATGTTGACAAAACTTCAAAAATAAAACAACCTTCCAATCGGCCAACCAGCGTTCTGAGTCGTGCAATTTCAACATCCTTCTCCACAATAACACTATTAAAGTCTATAAACAAATTACCAGCATGCCTTCCAAGTAGTCCCTCCAACGTTTCAACACGATGTTCCAATTCATGTACCCGTGTGTCTTTATTCTTCATTTCACGCTCCAACTCAATAATTCTCAGTTGAGCAGTTCTTAACTCATCATTCACCCTTGCAGGTTCTGTGCCAACGTCTTCGGCATCCGGAGTGCTGGATAGGTCTAAAAGATCCGGGAACAATACCGGCCACACATCTTTGCCTACACACGTCTTCCCACCCACTTTTTCCTTACTGGTTGGTGTACCACTATTGTTGTTCCCATAATCAACTACCCCTTCCATTTTGTTGGGACCACCATTAGGTGTATCAAGCTGCCAACAATTGAAGCTTGGCTCCACACTGCTCACATCATTTATATCAGCAGCAGCCCCACGCCCATCGCATGTGTTAGCTAGATCCACATCCATTGTTATTCGACCAGCTTGTCTTGGATCAGTCGCAACAGCAGCCAACTTCAGAATATGACACTCATATATTGTCCCAACAAGTTTACCACAATGCACCTACGGAAAATCCAAATTAACACACCCATAAACATCATGGGATGCACACAAATAAAAAAAAAACCCAAAGCTTTCATTCCTTACCTTAATGCAACTTTCTGCCAACAAATTTATCCCTTTCAATTTCCCCGCAACTGCGCCAATGTTCCATCGACAAAATCTTGGTGTCACATTTGGCCTTTCCGGGGTGATGATGCTCGAATGTTCACAAATGAGAAACTGAAATCAACACATCAAAGAATACATTAAATAAGCCCACAATAAAGCAAGACTGTTTTGTTTCTCAAATGATGTATGTGTTCGTCACATTGACCATTGCACATACCAGCAACGCTACGACATAACCAGTCACCCTCTCCGGCTTGTTGTGCATCTCGTTTAGAGAAACAATCAGCGTGTTCCGAATTGTTGCAGTCCAGTCGTACTGTTTTAACGTATCAAGTTTGTCGATCACCCGAACAAATACCCACCCTATATGCTCGCCTGTGGTTGCGAAAAATAACTTCGCACAAATGTAAAGACACACCAGTTTCGCCACGTCTTCTTCGTCATGTACTGTACGACCACAGATTTCTTCGCTCAGCAAGTCCTTTATAACTTTCGAAGATATCCAGCTAACATTTGCGCAACGTCTTTGGATGAAATCAGAAGGCCCTTTACCACCGTGTAACAAATCCAACTTTTCTTTCCCACATTGTACCCCAAATATCAACCTGATGTCGTTGTTCCGCAATGGTTATTAACCTGCAGATCACAAATTAAATTTATTAATCACCATAATACAAAATTCAGAGGTTGTAAACGTAAATTAGTACAACATTCTATACGAACAAGCTACCCGTCACCCTCTGAACTATACAATCTCTCTAGCAGTTGCCTATCATCATCCTTCAACATGTTCTACACAGTGTGCCTCCTATTTATACCAAAACCATGCCAGGTTTTACGCTCCACCTCGACGTCCTCGACACTGTAAATCACTCCGTGCTCAGACGATTTACCAAGCCTCACATTGGCACTTACTTCTTGTCGCCCAAATATGCCTGGATATTCATAGTCAGACAACCTAAATTCCCGTCTTGGTTTGTTTTTCACCCGTTTAACCAGTGACATAATTTTTGGGCCAGTCCTTGTTGCAGCAGTTGTGTCTTCCCAACCAGTTTCTACACCAACGACAATTGCACTAACGTCTACATTTCCACTACTCACTGACCGCGTGTTACGTGGACTGCAGCTGACCCGCACACCTGCCACAGATGAACGTATATACCTGTCGGCAAAGTTAACCGTCAAATCTTCAACTCCAACTTCGTCTTCAACAATTTCTAATGTGGCCAAGCCAACGTCCTTCGTTCTGTCTTCAGGACACATAGACTGCTGCACACTTTTGCCACTTGTCATGTTGCCAGAACCACTTACTTTCCCCGATCGACTGTCACTCGGTGTTCGCAGATTGGATCCATTATTTGCAACACATTGCGTTACGTCATGCACCTCACGAACATCAAGACTATCCTCAAAATTGGTTATTTTTGACTCCAATAGGCCAACCAGCGTTCTGAGTCGTGCAATTTCAACATCCTTCTCCACAATAACACTATTAAAGTCTATAAACAAATTACCAGCATGCCTTCCAAGTAGTCCCTCCAACGTTTCAACACGATGTTCCAATTCATGTACCCGTGTGTCTTTATTCTTCATTTCACGCTCCAACTCAATAATTCTCAGTTGAGCAGTTCTTAACTCATCATTCACCCTTGCAGGTTCTGTGCCCAACGTCTTCGGCATCCGGAGTGCTGGATAGGTCTAAAAGATCCGGGAACAATACCGGCCACACATCTTTGCCTACACACGTCTTCCCATCCACTTTTTCCTTACTGGTTGGTGTACCACTATTGTTGTTCCCATAATCAACTACCCCTTCTATTTTGTTGGGACCACCATTAGGTGTATCAAGCTGCCAACAATTGAAGCTTGGCTCCACACTGCCCACATCATTTATATCAGCAGCAGCCCCACGCCCATCGCATGTGTTAGCTAGATCCACATCCATTGTTATTCGACCAGCTTATCTTGGATCAGTCGCAACAGCAGCCAACTTCAGAATATGACACTCATATATTGTCCCAACAAGTTTACCACAATGCACCTACGGAAAATCCAAATTAACACACCCATAAACATCATGGGATGCACACAAATAAAAAACAAAACCCAAAGCTTTCATTCCTTACCTTAATGCAACTTTCTGCCAACAAATTTATCCCTTTCAATTTCCCCGCAACTGCGCCAATGTTCCATCGACAAAATCTTGGTGTCACATTTGGCCTTTCCGGGGTGATGATGCTCGAATGTTCACAAATGAGAAACTGAAATCAACACATCAAAGAATACATTAAATAAGCCCACAATAAAGCAAGACTGTTTTGTTTCTCAAATGATGTATGTGTTCGTCACATTGACCATTGCACATACCAGCAACGCTACGACATAACCAGTCACCCTCTCCGGCTTGTTGTGCATCTCGTTTAGAGAAACAATCAGCGTGTTCCGAATTGTTGCAGTCCAGTCGTACTGTTTTAACGTATCAAGTTTGTCGATCACCCGAACAAATACCCACCCTATATGCTCGCCTGTGGTTGCGAAAAATAACTTCGCACAAAT